TTCAAAAGAAATTTGTTTTGTTGTTTATTCATTTGTGATTATTTTTATTTGAATTTTATTTATTGTTAAAAGTTTGTTGTTTCGTTCTTCGTTCATTGAAATTCTGAACCAACGCGTGGTTCGTGGCTTCCATCCATCGTTCAAAAAGGCAACTGACTAAAAGACACATTTCTGAGAGAAGTTTCCATTAATCTGCTCCAATAAAGATGTCACAGATCAAACATAGGCTAACGCCTAAAAATGTACAATATATAGTCCATGTTGAAGTACATCCAAAACATCTTATGCCATGAATACATTGTAGGCTGAGTATATCAGATACATATCATGTTGCTATAAAAAAGAAAGTGAACCCTCTGACCATCTGAGTAGCTCTTCCAGTTCTGGGTCTGGCTGAAATCCATATGGTATTTTACTGTCGTCCATCCTACGGAAGGTCACGGACACCCTACGGTGCCGTACCCCTGGAATGCAATGTTTGGCGACATCTGCCCCATTTCCTTTCAGAACCAAAACTGAACTAACTGGCAACGGAATCTCTACAGTTCCTCTGAACTCGCTAGGGCCGACAATGTCAATCTCTTTCCCAAATAATATATTGCTTTTGCTCAGAAATGAGACCGTGCAGAAGGGTCTTACAAAATCATGATGATCAATGTGAAGATGTATGCAGTCTCCCTCGTCATATATGTTGATGATGCAGCTGTTTGGGATGCAGGTAGCTGGTAGTATGTTAAATCTGACCATTTTCTTGATCATCCACTTTATTAAGGATCCCTGACAGATTTTCCTGTCTGTCATTTGTAAAATTATAATTGTTTATTTATAAAATAATCACACCAGCCGCACTGAATGGTGATTCTTTCTTTTCCTCTTATCCATTTCTTCAGCTCAAAGTATGTTTTTTCCATGAGAAGGCCTGCTCGACCTCTATCTCTCAAATTGAAGATGCAGTCAAGAATTCTTCTTTCGTCACTCTCGGAGAAAACCCTGGTATACAGCTCCAGGCCTTCCGGTATGTTGACGATTATTTTTTGAACTTCTTCGTAAAATTCAAGTTCTCTTTTATTCACTTTGCTTATTTTGTAGCACTTCATCGTATTAGGAGTCGGTAGCTGTCGCGGGCGTTCCTCCCTCTGAACATTGGCAGAAACCCAAATGGGCGCTAAAGGGCCCCTAGCTGATCTGGAACACGAGACTCGGCATCTAGCGGGATGTACTACCCTGAGCTCCATGGTATATACTGATCCGTCCCCAGTGAGACGTATGACTCATCCATCATAAAATCTGAAGTCTGAGACCCATCAGTGCTGGAGGTATACTCTTTCAATGTACTGAAGCGTTGTAAATGTAGAACATTGCAATCCAGACATTCTACAAATGCCCCTCTGGCTGATGTCCCTGCAGGTATCTCAGCGTTGCATGTCGGGCAACCCTTGCATAAAACATCTGAAGCTGAAGGTGTCTCTGGCTCTGTGACAAACCCCGGTTCTTCATCTATGGTGGGTAGGCTGACAGAAGTTTCTTTTATGTCTGGTTCATAAGTTTCTTTTATGTCTGGTTCATAAATATGCCCCTAAGGAATAGGGGTGAGTAAGTTGTTTGTTTCTCTCTAATTTCTGCGTTCTTCTCGTAGAAAAACCCTATATTTTTTTGCGGCTGGCGTTTCTGCGTTGCGTCCTGCTATATAATATAGAAAAACCCTATATTTTTTTCTCAGCTAAACCAATCTTCCTTCCTTAGATATAAACAACAAAGCCATAGAACTTCGATGTTGTTTGCCTATGCGACGTAAATTCTCCCCTTATCTTTAGACGTTTGTATAACCCAACTATACAATATAAGCCCTAACTCGTCTTAGGATTCCGAGGTTGTCGTTCGTCACGACCTAAATCCTCACATCTTTTAGGCTATTTGTGTGATTGTTTCACACGAATGTAAGCCCTAACTAATAAAATTGACAGAATGAAATACCAAAATATTTCTCCTCAAAACTGAAGCCAAACATTAGGATAGCTTGAGAAGTCACCGAGGTTCTCCTCTGGATCCATGACATCCCCTAGTTCTTCCTCCTTTGGACTCTACAACAAAATGTTTCCAAATTTAAACCAATCCTCTTTCACACCTCTTCGTCCGATCCCATTGAAAAGTCCTACCCTTTGAAACTCCTTGAAGATAATGTTTCCTGATTTTTATCGAGTCTTCTTAGCAAAGTGCGTGGAAATTCCATTTATGTTTTTGGTTAAACTATTATTAACTAGATCATTTAAGATGTAATTAACTATATGGGCTTGCCCTTATAGGAAACATGTCCGAACCCAGCTTAATATAAATTCTATTTAATTCTTTATATGAAATAGGGGAATTTGTCGGCAAATACAAAGGTTTCGCACCGTTATATTATGATAATAATTACAATTTGTATGTTCTCCAACAATTTGGTATCATTTGAGTTGTGAATTAGATGATATATTTGATTGATACAAAACATTCTGCTAGCTAATGTCAATTTAAATTTAACCCCTTGGACAAACATCCAACTCAGATCTACAAGGATGCCTTGGACGTACAACCCATGATTGCCGAGAAGGATTCTTTTGTTTGATCGGAACAACTACCTCCCCTAACTAAGTATATTAGGGACCATGACAATCGGGACGATGGAACCATGGGACATTGATTGGGTTTGTCATCATTTCTCCAAGCAATCGCTTTAAGCTCAAGGTGATAAAATTTATTATCTAAAACTCCGTCTGCTGCTACTATAAGTTAAATATTCAGTATTTAATGATTAGCTTTAATTGAAAATGCATTTCTGTTATTCGGAGAGGTAATGTATCATAGGGGCTTGTGCCTATGAGAAATCTCGAACCTAATCAAAAGGTCCTTGCAAAATGATGATAAAATCTCTAAGTAGTGTCTTATCTACAATCAAATATTCTAAACTTTTGATCTGACAAAGCTCTCAACAATACAACAACAACGAGAGTCCGGGGAGTCAAAATTTTTAGAGCCCACAACCCTTGGTCTTAATTCGGGCCATTGGAGAAGATTCTCATTTGTGTACATACATTAATTTATATATAAGAAACTAGCTACCTAAGCCAAGAGAAAAGTGACCAGCTGTCTTCATTGAGTTGAATATATTACGAGTTCAGAAAGAAATATTTTAGTTGAAAGTGAATGCAAAATGAATGATAGAAATATATTTTCTTAGAGATTATTATATGAGAGTTTTAGGGATGAGATTTGCGTAAAAGGGCATGATGAAAAAAATCGTTGATCCAAAAAATGTGAGGTTGAATTAGCTTTTTTGAGAAAGATGCATAAATGCGTTGGTTTAGGTTCATATATAAGATAGCTACATTAATTTTGATCTTTGTATAAGCTAACAATGTAGGTTATTTAGTTACTCATTTAATAACATCTTAAAGATTAAAGACTATGAAGCATGCAATGATTGGAGGAGAAGCAACTTGATGTAGTATTTAAGAGCTAATAAATTTTTAAGATTCTTGTATTTAAAAGTTATGCAAACTCTTAATTTAGACAATGAAGTTGTTGAAGTGGGTAATGAAACACAATGTTTGAGAAAGCCTGTTGACTTTTGTGATATTATTATTATTATTATTATTAATTTATTTTTTCTTTTATGTTAGAAGGCTTTATTATGGAGACCATCTTTGTACTCTAGCATTCACAAATTATAGAAAGATGAAAATGATCTTTGTTGTTACTGATCATGAAATGGCATATCATTAACTTGAGTTATGATTCGTTAGGTATTAAGGAACAAACTATTATGCCAATAAATGAAGTTGTTGAAATTTGTATAATGAAAGCAATGAGTTTATGACTAACATTAGCTGCACTTCTGGAGTGATTGAAAAGCTTTTAATTTTAGCATAAATGCATCAATCATCAATATGAATCATTTATTTTTTATGAGGATGTATAAAAAGAGTTGTGATGTGAGGTGCATTTATATATAATTTTTATAGTTGGCCACTTTTGAAAGTGAAAGCTTAATCAATGTTTGGCTAATAATGTGCATTTATTAGTTCATGTGAAGTGGTCAATTTGTTAGTGAATATTGTTTAAAGATCTGGTGTCTCTCTTGTGCAATAATTTTAATTACATGAGATCATTTATTGAACGGTTGATGTTATAGATAAGAACATAGTTTCTAAAGTTAGAGGTGGGTTATTAAATGGAAAAAAAGTCGAAGGTTGGACATATAGAAGAAGCATTGTTTTTTTTTCCTTTAGTACTGTTTTGTGTGTCGTGGGAGTAGATATTTTATTGTTCTCATGTAACTGAAGAGGATTGAAGGATGTTTAAGCATAAGATATAATGTCGCTTGAATATAATTTTAAAAGTATCATAGAAGCTACTATTGAATAAGAATAGAACTGCAAGAATGCTGTCCGCTAGAGCTTCAAAGTGGAAGATTTGTGAGTAGCCATAGGAGAAGATGCTTCATATCTTGGAAATTACAGGAACTGGTACAAATATTGAATAACTGTAAAGACAGTGGTTGCCTCTAGCTGTAAAAGGATGCCTAGTAGAATAGTAGTAGAATGAAAACTTATGATTGGCATATAAATCAAACCTGTTCATAAAAGAAACCTTTTATTGTTGGCATGTGAAAGCAAACTCTTTACTGATAGCAACATAATATTGAGAAGTTAGAATCTAGCATTATTAACTATCTTGTCTAACTAATTTATGATTTAGTTTCAAAATTAAAATTAAAAATTAGAAAAGATAAATGTAATGCAAGTATTTATGATTTAGACCACCATAGACTTCAAGTTTTGCATATGAATTTGATCTTTCTTAATTATAATTAATTTTTGTATATATATATATATATATATATATATATTCAAGCGCAATTGAGGGAATCTATTTATTGCTTTGTTGTTTCTTATAGTATCTTATTTTGAGAAGGCTTTTGAAGTTAACCATTTTGTCCTTACAGATTTGGGGAGCAAGTTTTAGCACTCAAAATTATCAATAGTGGCAACACGAATGAGGAGAAAATGACAATTCAGGCTCGTTTCATTCGAGAAGTCAATATGATGTCTAGAGTAAAACATGAAAATCTTGTTAAGGTTTGTTGCATTTTGAATTGTGGTGGGATAGTTTTATTTTATTTTTAATTGAGAACTTTCTACATTATGCAGTTCATTGGAGCTTGCAAGCACCCTATCATGGTTATTGCTACAGAGTTGCTACCTGGGATGTCCTTAAAAAAATATTTGGAAAACATTAGACCAAACCTGCTGGATCTTCGTTTAGCAATTAGCTTTGCAGTGGATATTGCTCGTGCAATGGAGTGCCTTCATGCTAATGGAATAATACACAGAGACTTAAAACCTGGTCAGTATTTCTTTTCATAAATGTCTGAATGCTCTTTTTTTGCACACTCGATAAAAAATATTTTTATGTATTTTCAGTTTACTATTGTTTATTTTTCTCTGAAGTCATAACTTTATTTATATAATATCAAGCAAAAAAAAAAAAACATCTAATGCCTTTTTTCTCTCGGAAGAAATGGAGATTTGAAAGTGCAAAGTAATAATAAAAAAGAAAATTTGTCTTGAAATATTAGTTAATTAATGGCTAATTTGATGTATCAAGCATACATTGAATTGAAGGATCAATCATCCTTTTCTATTTTTAAATTACTGCACTTGCAAGTCAAATTTACTGCTTGTGGACAATGAGATGATAAATTTATTAAAAAAAAAATTATTCGAGTTGTAAGTTTTAAGTCTATCATCTGACTTCATTATGATAGAAATTTTTGCAAAAGGTGGTGTTGTTTGATGAACCAAAAATATCTTGACAAAGAATGTCTGATATAGCTGCCACTTATTTGTATTATTTAGTTACATAGCTACAAGAAAAATTGAGTAGGATGCATCTGGTCTCTGATATCTGTTTATTTTTATGAAGTTTTACCTTTTCTGTAATGGTATATGTTGATAATTCTGTGCCTGTAAGTTCACTGCATGCTTGTTGGAGTTAATTTGCGTGACTGATAACTTGGTTATGTTCATGTAGTTTCTTGGTGCAACACTTATGCAAAAATATGATGCAAAGCAGACGTTAACTAGAATTCATTGCAAAAAATAAGAGGAAGTGCACCGATAATTTGACAAATGTACAATCAGTAAATTAAAAAAAATATTTAATTTAGTCGATTAATAATGTGAATTTAAAGAATTGATAAGTTGAAGATAGAAAAGAAAATGTCAAATTAGATAAGGATCTAATCTTTTAGAGTAATTAGCAATTACATAGGCTACAAAAGTCATTTGTGACGTAGATCTCCCTTCCTCAAATTCTTTGCCGAGTGTTGTGTACTATTCTCATACTCAAGAGCTTTGTTACTTGATGGTGGATGAACACATGAAAAAGTAAAGTTGTTTGCAACCAAAGGAACAATATTCCATTTATATGATTAAGGTATATAACATGAAGTGATGAAACAAGATTACCATATATACATGCGAGAAGTAAACCAAAGAGGCATCAAAAGGGGGATGAGGGAAGGGTCAATCATAGTGAAGGGGTTTGGAGTTGATGTTTTGTGGAGTTTGGAAGGTCGTAGGTGGCTTCCAATGTCTACAAGAATTTTCAAGAGAAGATTACTCAAGGTGTAATTTAAGGGTTCATTAATGGGTTTGGACTGTTGATTAGAATGATGGAAAGAGAGGGTTTGGCATGCTCATTAGGAGAGAGAGACTTGAGGTGGTTTCAAGGTTATATGATGGTTAGTGATGACATGAATGTCAAGTATTGAAGCGGTGATAAGAAGAATTAGTAAAATGCGAGGTAAGAGCTAGTTCAAGGAGAGTGGGTTAAACCCTAACAACATGTATGAGTCACATTACTTATGACATAGTATAACTCAAGGTTCAATAGAGGAGAATGAATATTAATCAATGTAATAGTTCTCTATTAAGCTTGTCAAAAGAGATTTTAAGGGGAAGTTCATGAAAAATTGATTTTATAAGTTCAATGAAGTTCAATGATGTCACGACTTTATTGGTGGCTAAATCATGTTGCATCCGACAATTCCCTTACCATTTCATTTTTAGCATTTGTATCCTTCTATCCTTGAATGGTTGTTTTGAACACCTATCTCTATAAAATCCTTTGTTTGATTTTCAACTTATATGTAATGGAGGCACATTCAGAATTTAATCTAGTGTCAAGAGAAGAATTTCCCTAAGCTATTTTAGGTTGATGGATTGAGATTGGGATATTTTGGAATTGGTTCATGGAGATAAACCTGTTTTTGGAGTAACTGTGCCGGCAAATAAACCATTCACAAGCCCTCATTCCTCAAATTTTTGAAGGATCTTGCAGGTTCGGTAATCTTTTGGAGAATAATAATACATATCCTATATATTGAACAGAAAATCTCAATAGAATTTCTCAAAAGGCCTACAATAAAGAGAAAAGTGAATAGGTCTTTATGAAGAGTCATGGGGACATATGATTCTTTCAAATTGTCCGTTAAGTTGATACCGATTGTTAACATGGAATAATTGTAATGTCTATAGACTTCATAGGTAGTGATTGGAAGGAAAATAAAGACGTATAAAATTTTTGCTATAGGTTTTAGTTGACATTGCTTCAACGTTTACAAATCTGTTATTAATTTTTCAAGAATTAAAAATTTTCAATAATAAAATTGTCTAGGAGTGCAAGCTAATGAGAAAATAGCTTTAAAACACAAGGATCATTTTTGAAATAATGAAGTTTTGATGAAAATATAGAGTAAAAATATAAAAAACTTGAATTTAATGATTTTTTTTTGTAGTGCCAAGTAAGAATGAAATGTTTGAAAATTCCATGATTAATCAATAAATAAACATCATGCCCGAGAAGTTTCAATTAAATTGAAAAACATCTTGTATTCTTGTAAAATTGCAAGTGAAAAAATGATGCTATGTATGATAATGATTTTGTTGACTACAACTGACATGATATCTTACATCATTACTAGTGTTTAAATTTTGTTGTTAAAATTTCCCATGTTTATCATGCATAACTTTTAAATATATATTATTTGAGCTACAATTATTCTTTTTTCCTTGTTAGTATTTTGATTAGTTGATGTTGCAACTATCAACCATCAACGCTTATATGACAAGCTACAAATGCGCAGATAACTTGCTTCTTACTGCGAATCAGAAAAATGTGAAGCTTGTAGATTTTGGATTAGCGAGAGAAGAGACAGTGACAGAGATGATGACGGCTGAAACTGGGACATATCGATGGATGGCTCCTGAGGTTGGTCATATGTAACATGCAAATTTTGTTTAAGCGTGTAATTTTTCTTCCTTTTTGATAATTGATATTTTTGGTTCATTATCTTCTGAAAAGATCTTACTGTTTTAATTGATAATAGTTTATTATTTATTAATTATTTTGTAGTTGTCTGCCTTGGGCAAGTGACAAGTTTAAGGAACTTTAATTATACAAATAGAAGACAATATAGCATTCCTCACTCTTATACGCCCAAAAAAGCTATAAATTTTTCCTCTATGTTTTGTTATTTCTGTTTGACCTATGTTTTTGTAAATTGTTGTCTTGCCCTCTTTTGCCTGCTAGCCATTTATTTAATAAAAAATCATTTATCTATACACAATATATTTGTTTTGAGCATGCGTATTTCAATGGTCTCCATCGTTTCATCCCCCCTCTTTAGCTTTATTTACACACAAAAAGGCTTGTGGGTCAAACTTTTACTCGGGAAATGGTTCACTTGATAGATTAATATTTTAATTAAGCAATTTTATAGGCTTTTTACTTGAGTTAAAATGGGAATAAAGTAAAAAATTGTGCATTATTGTAGCTTTTTTTAGTAAAGATATTGTAAAATAAATTTTAATGCACAATAAAAACTTTACCTCCCATAACTTGTAAGGTTGGTGTGAGCAAGTTTCATCTTGCCTCCTTTCTTCTTTTCCCTTGCTAGTGACTCTCATTTCTCGTTCTGCATCTGGAGAATTCTAGATGCAAGTGACCTTGGCAATCTTGGTGTGACTCAGGGTCTCGTAATTTGGAGAGGTGACAACCCTTAGAATACTTTGTAGTTACTTACCTCCCGTTCCCATACTTTTAATTCCTTTTGTCCATCCATACTCACATTTATTTCCTCCAGTTCATGCACCCTCATTCTCCTATTTGACACTATCTATTCTCTTTCTCACCTTTATTAAGCAAAATATGACTTATAAATTGAACTATATGTCAGAAATGAATACAATGAATGTGTGAAGTAATAAATATAATATCAAATACCATAAGTAAAGCGTATTTTATACACATTCTCCCAAAAGGAGGACCAAAATTTTCTTGCTAAAGAACTTAGAAAATAATATAAAGATATAATATATTAGAGTAGTAATTTAATACCGAAAATCATCCACTTCGAAAATTCCCCAAAAAGGTGGTACCTTCCTACATTTTTATGGAATTTATACAATATTTTTGACTCAATCATGCTTTCAAGGCATTAGGATGATGCTCCATTGTCTGAGAACATATTCTCTTTTGCCCCCCTTTGTTTTTTTTTTTTTGCTAAAAATAGCACCACTTCTCTGCCTCTCTCTTTATTGCAAAACCTTTCCTGAAGGAGCAAAATGAACCACCACCGAGCATTTATTTTTAATATTTTTATAAAAATCTGATGTAGTGAATTTTTAAAATTAATCAAGCAGAACTTCTTACTTAAATTGTCCAAAATAATGAGTTCTCTCACAAAATTTTAAAAAAATTATATACAAAGTAATAATTACTTTAGATTTATTCTAAAAAATACTTATTCTAAAATCTTGTGCACAAACATTTATTGAATCAAAATCCTAACAATCTTTCCTTTTATTTGTAATACAACAATAAATCTATGCATCTTTTATGACTTATTTCTCAAGTTAAGCTGCCCAAACTCTTTGTCCCGAAGAGTTGAGCATCACTCTGCTTCATAATGCCCCTATGACCGTTGAATTTAACATCTGTTAAAAACTATTGCAGCACATCAGTTGAAGGGCATCCATCGATATATGAATTTCATTTTCCATTCAATCTTAATGATAAGTAATCCTATTCACTTTGAATATTGTGATTGTATGACCTTTCATTGGAGCAATTTGCGCAACATCGTATTGATTCACATAATCATCTTCTGTAACTTTCCCTAAACCTATGCTCTCTTTTGTTTTAGAGCCTACCTGTAGCTAAGATGTGAAATTTTTTCTCTTTTTCAAATTTTGATGCTCGTACTCTAATGATGATAAAACTTAGATAACTCCATTTACAGTTCTGCTATGTACGCAAAGTTAACCAGCTATCTTTACTTTCATTACAAGTGATGCACCATTGCAAATATGAAGTTATGTTTGGGAGCTTATATCTTGATTCACTAAACATGCTCGTAGGTAAAATTTTTATTTTGAGTTCTAGTACAAGCTTGTTCTTGAATGTTCCACTCACACCATAATGCATCCTTAACTCTAAATTGCCAGTATCAATGGTCTTGCATGCTATCTTGTTTCTCTCGCATGTTTAGCCTCTAGAGCATGACTCACAAGTGAAAATCATTTTCTTATAAGACACGTATGGTATGATCATATTGAATCTAGAATCCATTGATCATTATCTATCTTTCATCAAACACCAAGAGAACATCACTTCGATGTGCGCGCCTGATCAATTTGCAACAATAATAACATCTGGTGATTTATCCTTCATGGGGTCTAAAGGTGCCTTTTCTTTTTGAATGTAACTCATATTTTATTTTTTTACATTTTCTTATTGTAATGAAAATAAGTTACGTCTTTGAACTTGCTAAAATATTTGCTTCTGGAATTACTAGAGATACACTCTATCAAAAAGTCTCAATTGAACTGACAATTCTTCGATCAACTCTTGATCTCCTCATCCCAAGCTTAGCAATCACATTTTTATAAGGAAGTGAATTTTTAAAATTCTGAAAGGCTTTTTTTGGTACAAAATTTTGTCATGAAAATACTTGTAAAAGGGAAGTAAACTCTATGTTAGCAAAATACTTGATCCCAATCATCAACCATCACATAAAAAATTATGTTATTCTTAATTTTTTAGTTTTTATTTTTATATAAAATTATGAAAAAGTTGCAAGGTTATTTTTTTTAAAAATTCTATCTTATACATAAAATTAAATATTATTTTATATTTATTCATAAAAATCACTTTTTGAAAAAATCTTATACTCATGCTAACAAAATATATTATGTCAAAATTTCTATCATCCTTCACCTTTATGTGTAGTGTCTGCCTAGGCTTATAGGTGTAAACTTCAACAAACAAAGTGTAGGACAATGACTCGAACCAAATGCTCTTATTCAAATTCGTTCATTTTTCTTTTTGAATTTGTGCCCAGCTTGAATATGACCCATGCTTTAAAATCTAGTTCAATTTGTTCATAGTTTTCTTATCTAGTTCGAGTCATAATTGAGCGATGGTTAATTTTATTTCTAATTATATGCTTGATGCTAATAATTTAAATGTGCATGCTTATTACTAAATATAAATGGATTTATGAGTTTCATTTAAGTTGACATAATTTTTTATGTATTATTAATGGTGTATGATGAAGTTCAAATATTTTGCATAATATTATGATTTAGACATCAAATAAATCATAACTTTAGAAACACATTATATGAAAGAAAATTAATATTAAAACATAGAATAAATTCTCTAACATGTAATTGAACCATCATTAAATGTGCATTTTATCAAGTTCTTAGTGAGCAACTTTTTGAACAACAAATGAGTGAAACATAAATGAACAAATTTGATCATTTAAATATTGAGTTTTTATTTTTTTCCCCAATTTGTTCAATTACTCAAGTAAATGAACATAGCAAGCTTTATATTAATGAGCATAAAGCTTTTCATTCAACATACTCGTTTTTGCTTATAGCCCAAACAAAGGGCCTCGACAGTGCCCTTGGCCAGTGATGGATCAATTAAACCTGGAAATTTGAACGGTAATCATGCCAACATGACGATGTATACATATTTGTTGGATTTGAAGTATTTTCTGATAGTCTTTGTAAATCTGGAGCCATTTATGATTCCATATGTGTGGAAGTAGCCTCCAATGTTGAGGATGACATCAACCAGGTTTGCATGGCAAGGTCTACCTCAACTGTGACCAGAGGCAATCATGTGTAATTTTTATGGATTAGACATTTTCTTGCACCAGTATTACACCAAAGTTTAGCCAATTTATATCTTATGCATGCAACGGAGCTTAGCATCTTTTTGTATTTTTAAATCAGATCAAATATTCTTTTTTTTAATCTGAAAGCCTTCCATGTTTCTGAAATTCTCTCGAGTCACTCCAAAGTTGAAAACAATAAAAAAACATATGGATCATTTATCTACCTTTTCATTTCAGCATAACACTTAAAATACAACAAAAAAACTCCCAATAGATAGAATACTTTACATCTGCTGTACATTCTAAAAATGCTTGCACTCTTTTAAGTACATGCAACAAAAATTCTCAATCATAATGCGCTCGATTTAGAAACCATACCATCTCTCATGACTGCAATTATTGGCACAGAATGATGCCTTTTAATATGATTGTCCTTATTTCACTCTTTGGCATAGCAATAAACCACCCCACTGACATTAAATAAATTTTCCTTTCTCACATTAGGCTACTCATAGTTATTATTCTGTTGCCATTATGTTTTCGCTCAGAATCATCTCAGTTAACCTTTTTTTGTTCCAGTGCTACGTTGTGTTTGATAAATTTATAGCCTATTTTAGATTTGCTAACATCAATGTTACAAGCTGCAAACTACCCCCAATATCTGTGAAGCCCATAGTTTATTTTGCTAACCTTTAGTACAAATCATTCGGTGCTGCAGCTATACAGTACTGTTACATTGCGTAGAGGTGAGAAGAAGCACTATACCAACAAGGTTGATGTATATAGTTTTGGCATTGTTCTATGGGAGTTGCTGACCAACCGGATGCCATTTGAAGGAATGTCGAACTTACAGGCAGCATATGCTGCTGCTTTTAAGGTGAAGATCAGTTGCATATTTTATTTCTTATTTCATTTTTATAAGTTCTACTTATTTTAGGTTAGTTTTTGAACTAATGATATCCCATAACAGTTTATATGAATCTAAAATCCAAGTATCTTATGCTAGCAATCATATATTCCAACATAATTGGAATTTGTTTCATAGAAGAAGCCAAATTATACTGGCTACTTTGTAAAGACTCCGAAAGAAGAATCCATATGATGTAGTGGGAAAACTTTAATCTTCCATTACAAAAGGTTTGCTATGTTAAGAGTTAGTTTAGGCTTTTGTAAAGCCACGTGACTTGCAGATTCATTTTCCTGCTCATTTGATTAGCTTGTAGTAACAGCCATAGGTGTAATATGTTTTTGGCAATGTTCCGCCTGAAAGCTATGATGCACTTCAGTTGAATAAAATGTCAATATTGATAGGTGGTCAACTAAATTACATTGGATTAAAATAAATGGAAACATTATCCGCTCTCAGTTGCGGTTATGAATGATCTGGTCTGACGCTAATGTCAGGTTGACTAAAGATATACAAAGTCATTAGACTCGAGTCAAGCATGACTGTTTGATTTGTACTTGATCATTACTTCAGAAGTTAAAATCTGATTCACTTCAATAACTTTTTTTTATTTTCTAAAACATTCCGAGTAAAACAGACATTTATATGCCTATGCATATTTAGATTCACATGCGTAAATGTATAGATCAGTTAATACATCTACATAAATGGATGTAAACTTATATTTTTTGCATACATGCATATAAATTTTGACTATTGCATATTAAGCTTGATTAAATTTAGGCTCAAATCAATTCAGATTCAGTTGCAGCCACGCTCAACTCATTAGACACCCCAGTGGCATCAGTATGTGTTGGATCTGTGCGAAGACTAATTTTACTTTGGAATGATGACTACTTCCTGTAAATTAATAATTATGCTTGGTACTAATAAATACTAACTTGAGCTCTACTTTTGCTGTGCTTGACTACAAAAGCAAGAGAGGCCATCCATACCAGAGGACGCACCTGCTGATTTAGAATTCATCATAAGATCCTGCTGGGTTGAGGAACCCAGCATGCGGCCGGGCTTCAGCCAGATCATTCGCATGCTCAATTCCTTCCTCTTCACTCTAACACCACCACCTTCTCCACAGCGTGATGCTTCTCCGGGGGTCATCAGCAGTAGCAGTGGTCCCCTCTCCACCTCCACCACCACCACCACCACCACTCGCTCCGTTCGAAAACTTTCATTCCTCCGTCAATTCTTTCTGACAAAAAGGGCGAGCAATAGTCGAACAACATAAGACCCCATATCCTTTTTCTGAGATCTGTAATACGGAATACATTCTATATAGTATTAGATATCTGTCACACTGAAAGTGAAAATACATGAACTTAGAAGAGGAAAATTGCACAAAAATCTTATGCACCACTACCGCACAAGAGTTATGAATGCTTGATCATTATGCAAATTCTACGTGCAGAGTATCATATGTGGATCATCTCATGGCTAATGAATGCCAAATTTTAATAGTTCGAGCAAAGTGTATGGGCTCTGGAAATTTCTAATAAATTTTAGCTGTACCAATGGTTCATATGATTTTTGTCCAGAAGTAAAGATTGTAGAAAGCGTTTTTTCCAGCCAATTGGATAGGATTGTATTCTCCTTAATTCATGTCTGGGCTAATTTTTGTATATACGATATCATAGTGCACAAATTTTCAAGCTTATTTTCTTAGTTTGCTTTTGGTATAAAATCTACTGGCTCAGCCGAACTTGACTCTAAACACACTGTTTAAATTGAGGATTATTTTGATCAGTCAGTGGCGTTTACCAGTTTATTTTATCTATTTTTTTCAAAAAAATGCAGTGAAAAATTTTGTTTTGCAGTTTGACTTGAACGCGGTGGTTGATGCTGTTGGAAGTTGTCTTTTATAATGCGACTTGAGTCAGTGCGACTTGATTAAGTGTGGTAGTTGTCAAAAAATTATAGTACGATTTAAAAAAAAAATTGAGATAACCATCTTAAAATTTTATTTACAGTGATTTCTTGCACTCAAATGTATCCTAAAAAGTTGACTTGATTTTGGGTTGAGTTGAAATAAATTATTTTATGTATATTTTTTTTTAGTATTAAGGTACAATTTTGGTTGATTAGAAGTGTAATTTGAGGCAAATGAAATTGATTAATTTATAATGAGTAGTGTGATCTGAAAAATATTGCAAGTGAACTTGTTTTAATGCAGCATGGGTTTGATAATTTGATGTTTGAATTCTTGTAAGAGTTCACAATAACATGTCACAATCCGTCATCTTCAAAATAGTTAGCAAGCCCACTATTAGAAAGAAGATTCTAGATAAGATCAGAACGAGAGCAATCTAAGAGATTTTAGAAGGATCTGTTACTTTCTAGTGAATGTTGGAAGGGAAAAGCTTTTAGAAGAACTCAAAGATAGTCTAGAAAGCTTTAGGATCATGCATATATATAAAAGAGCAGTGTAAAATTATTTAGAGGTTAGTTTTCTTTAATTTATGCTAGAAAGTTTCCTCAGGCTTGAAAGAAGACTATAAATAGAAGTCTCTTCCCTTCATCTGTATCCATCTGTATCCATTTAAAGTTCCTGAGCAATCAAATTTGTAATCTTTTTTGCCTTAGTGAAGTGTTCTTTTTCTCAAAAACTTCTTGCTATTCTTTTATGAATAGAGTTTGGTCTTTTCAAGTCCAAGCGTGGCAAAGGTTAAGCTAATTTAGTGCTTAAGAATAGCGCTAAAGTCACACAGGTGACTAGAGAAAAATTTGTTCATGATAGTTGGTATTAGAGCTAAGGTTTGAAGGCATGACAAAGAGTGTCAAAGAGCACACTATGGAGTTTGAAGCCACTAATGTGGGATCATCTTAACAAGGGTGAGCTCGTCAAGAACATCGAGATTCAGCTGTATCTAAACTACTTGGGAGGTTTAGGGAGATAATGCATGACTTTGATTCACGGCTTGTTTGGGTGGAGGAGGCAATGAATGGTCTCGTGGCTCAGATTGAGGTTCTTGGCCATAAGATTGATGGACTTGTGGAGGAGGAAATAGTCATCCATTCGATGATCAGAGGTATGATGCTCTAATTGAAGGAATCCTTAAAAGACAAAATAGTGAAGTTGTGGGAGGACTTGATGGGGGAGCTTCATGAGGAAGATATGAGCAACTTATGTGCCAGCTTGAAGGAAATGTGTGGAGACATATCGTTGTGCAAGAAAGCGGTAGCGACATCAATCAAGCACCGTTCCTTCAAAGCCAAGTGCATTGAAGTGTCAAAGCCTAGGAGTTTTGGACCAACTCTCTAAGCGAAAGAAGTAGACAACTTTTTATGGGGATGAGCTATATTTTGGAGCCATGGGGATTTTGGATGAAGATATAAAGATTCCATTTGCAACTTTTTATCACTCCGACATCATTATGTGGTGGTGGAAAAGAAGGCAGAGAGATATAAAGAATGTATGTGCACCATATTCACCTTTGATGAATTCATGAAAGAGCTTAAGAGACAATTCTATCCTGAGAATGCAGAGGACGAAGCTAGAACCCGGTTGCAAAAACTCAAACAAGCGGGATCAATTCGGGAATACATTAAGGTGTTCACTAGTTTGGTTCTTGAAATATCCAACATGTCAGAAAATTATGCTCTCTTCAACTTCATGGATGAACCACAATAATGGGCAAAGACAAAGCTTAGGAGGCGCGGAGTGCAAGATCTTGCTACGGCCATTGCGGTTGCCGAAAGCTTAATTGACTACTCAAAAGAGTCTACGAAGTCCAAAGATAAGGAGAGTACCTATGTCAATAGTGGGGGAGAAAAAGAACAGCACAAGGAACATGTTCGGCATGAAACAATCTCATCCAAGTGCATATACAAAGGAAAGCATTGAGTCAGTGCGACTTGATTAAGTGTTTGACTTGAATGCAGTGGTTGATGCTGTTGGAAGTTGTCTTTTATAATGCGACTTGAGTCAGTGCGACTTGATTAAGTGTGGTAGTTGTCAAAAAATTATAGTACGATTTAAAAAAAAAATTGAGATAACCATCTTAAAATTTTATTTACAATGATTTCCTAATTGTTTATTTAAAGAGCTGCAGTTGCACTCAAATGTATCCTAAAAAGTTGACTATTGATTTTGGGTTGATTTGAAATAAATTATTTTATCTATATTATTTTAAGTATCAAGGTACAAATTTGGTTGATTAGAATGGTAATTTGAGGCAAATAAAATTGATTAATTTATAATGAGCGGTGTGAGCAGAAAAATATTGCAAGTCAACTTGTTTTAATGCCACATGAATTTGATAATTTGATGTTTGAATTTTTGAAACGGTTCACAATAAAATGTCAAAATCCATCATTGAAAATTCTAGATAAGATCACAAGGAGAGCAAGCTAAGAGATTTTAGAAGGATTCGTTACATTTACGCAAGCTAAGAGATTTTAGAAGGATTCGTTACATTTACGCGAGTGTTGCAAGGGAATATCCTTTAGAAGAACGCAAAGATAGTCTGTACATCGCTACTCTTGACGAGTCGGTAGAAGTTTTGTTAGCCCAGGTTAACGAAGATGGGAAAGAGAATGCTCTATACTACCTCAGTCAGCATTTCATCCCCATTGAAATGAAAAATCTGTCAATCGAGAAGCACTATTTGGCGTTGATATTTTCAGTTCAGGAACCCCAACAATACATGATTGATGTGTAGAAAAGTATGCTTAATTTTATTTATATTTTGCACTTTTTTATGAATAAAATTGTACTTTAAAGAAGGGTTTATGTTTTTCTAGCAGATACAATAGGTAGTAGAAGTGGAACGAAGCGGAGATAATGTAGAGCAACTGGATATCCAAGAGATTGGCGCCTAGGCACCAGCCATTGGGTGCCAATGTGCTCATACTAAGCACGTTGACACCACTTACTTGGGTGCCTAGGCGTTAGTACACTGTTGAGCAAACAGAGGGGCTGGCTCCTCGGCGTTAGTCCAGTGGCACCCAGGCGCCAGTAACTGCTGGGCAGTTTTTCAGTAGTTTCTCCTCTTGACGCGGGAAGTTATTTGAAAGATTAAAAACAATTCTTGAGGGAGAATTTGAGAGGATTTTTGTGGAGAAGGAGAGAACAGTAGAGCTTGCTGTAGGGGAGAATTAGGGATTTTACTTAGAGAATTTGGTGAGATTTGAGAGGTGTATTATGAGAAGAGTATTCAACACAACAACAAGGGTCTATGAGAACCTAGGAGAGCATTATAAAGAGGAAGAAGCTAATTATTGTGCATTTCCTTAATTGTACTTCTGTAAAACACAATTACGCACTGGATTTGTTGTGTTAAAGATATTTTGCAGTATTTTTTCCATGCTTTGTGAGTAGTCTTTTCACCTTTCACTTGTAATGATTATGTCAGTTTTGTAGGAATAGTGGAATGCTTTTAAAATTGGTTTTCAATCTTTAATATGATGAGTATTCTTCAAAGCTTCCTTTAACTTTCATTCCGGCCAAGAGATTAGTTTAAATATGTGTGATCCATACTGACTCGAGAGAGCTATTGAAGAACAATTAGAATATTCAAGTTGAATTATAGGGCATGAAGCAAAAGTAAACTATAGATAGATGCAAATAAATAGGGAAATAATCCTTGATGGGTTGAAATTAGGGTTTACATAATTAAAATAGTTTAACCAAACTTCTTTATGCACTCGGGATATGGTACATAAGAGAGTTGTTCCTATTTGTCACTGGCCACAATTTTAATTTAAGGTATTCATTTGCCTACACACTAATTATATTGTTACAAGGAAGGGTGTTTTTATATCTCGATTATTACAAATTCAAATATATTTAATAGATTTCTTGTAAAAGTAAACCTTCAATAGTAGTTTGTAATTCTGCAAAACTAGTAAGCACAACTTAAAGCCAACTTTGCTTCCATGCTAAGACTAATTTTAGTAAGCTAGAACTTCACTTAAGTCTATCTGCCTCGCTTGCTGTGGGATCGACATTCTACTCTCAAAATATGATATTACTTATATGATATGTATACTTGCGTGAGACCCCTGCACTTAAAATTATGACGTGTCAAGTTTTTAGCATTTCTACAGGATGCGTCTATCCATCAAGTTTTTGGTTCTATTGTCGGGGAGCGATGGTGTAGTTAACCTAGGATAATTTTAGTTGAATCAATCAGTCATAGATTTGGAAACCTTGTATTGTAGTCTTACTGTGTAATTGTTTGTTTGTTTGAAAAAGAGAAAAAAAAATAAAATTTTTTTTGTTTGTTTGTTGTGTGAAGACTTATAAGTTGAACCATTAGTTTGTGAAAGCGTAGTGCAAAACCTATAAGACTTGAACCATAGATTGTGAAATAGAGAGAACTATTAAAAAAATAGAAAACAGAAAAGGCTTCACGAACTTGTAGAAAAAATGACGAACAATCAACAAATAAATGTAGATACCCAAGATATGATTAATGATCATCATAATGCGTATAGAACATTAAGGAATTATGCTAATTCTACGACAAATGAAATTTATTTAACAATTCAAACTCCTGCTATGGAAGCTAACACATTTAAACTTAAGCCTGCTATTATCCAAATGGTGCAGAATAACCGATTTTGGGGAATCCCATCTAAGGATCCAAAATTACATTTAGCAAGTTTCTTAGAACTCTCCGCTATATTTGGCTATAATGGTGTGTCAAATAACGTTGTTAGGCTTAGAATTTTTCCATTTTACTT